TCTTAAAAATGTTAACTATCTTAAAACTATTAAAAATTGTATGTATATAGAATATCTTGCCTTTAAAATATTCGAGTATTTTAAACATTTAAAATTCTTATGGATAAAAAATTATTGTAACTGTATAAATATAATGAATTAAAACATAATAACAATTATAAAATATTATAAAAGCAAAAGTATATGTTTACAATTTTCGAGAATTTTAAAACTTTCAACACTAATTCGAAATTTAAAATTTTCAATGCATTTGAGATTTCCTAACTATACAAAACTTTAAAAATATTTTTTAGTTTTGAATAATGTGTTCGAAACATTTCAAAATTTTCATTATATATTCACAATGATTCAATTTGTTTTAAGTCTATTATTATAGAAAACAAGCTTTTCACATCATGTATTAAAATAACGAATGATTTAATCATTCGCATTTTAGCACGAATCAAAAGACTCAATGGAACATTCGATATACAAAGATGCTGGAATTTGATAGTTATTTCTCACAATTGTCGCGTAAGAGGAAAACCCGTCCATACTTCTAATTAAACACGCGCTGCTCGGAATTCGATCATTCATTGTGGCGAGTCTCATCGCCGCAATAAATACGGACACTCGTGACAGACATATCGCCGATGTTATAGCTCTTCACTGTATCGCGCGACGAGCGCGATTCATGCTCATTCATTACATAAAGCAGCTCACTGTTTACCAAGAGCCCGCTTTATTTTTAGTCATGCCGCGTTGCTTTATGCGACGCCCGCCGATTTGCGAGACCGCACCGTCGTCGTCCCTCGTTCGCTCGCTCTTGGTTCTTGCGCGGTTAAGTCCCGTTTACGCAACCACGTTTCGCAGCCGTCTTCATCATCGGGTCGTGCCGCACGCGTACAAAACCCGCGCGTACAAAACGCACGTTTCAATGCATCGTGTCTTATTCGAACGGTTTGCTCTGCTGATAACGAGAGTCGGGAAATCATCGTTTAGCGCAAAACGTTTATGTAACAATCATGTTACGTGATATGTAATTTTAGACAAATTAATGGGGATTTTCCTTCGTAAAATAGCTGCAATGCGTCGACTGAATAACAAGAGAAATAAGAATATAAAATTTATTAATTTTGCCAAACAGATTATAATAAATATCTAAATAAATCAAGAATAACGAATTATGAAAATACACATCATACGTTCGTCATCATCAATATCGATTGCACTAATCGCATTTGCATTTAATCACGAGCATAAAGTTGATACATTTTGTTTTTATCATAGGGCATAAATTTTTTTGTAAATTAATCGACAGAAAAGATCTTACATAAGCAACTAAAATCATAGCTTCTCTTGAAACGGTACTAACCGCATTTTTGTGAAATAGCGCAATCAGTAAGTACCCGCAAGACGTTTCAATGGTGTGTATCCGGTTGATTGGAAGAATCCAAATCGGTATTTGCGCTTTTCAATCGTATTGAACTCGTTAAGCATTACTCAACGCTCTAATAAACACACGACTCGGTAAGGTGCCTAATTGCGAAACACGATGTTTAATCATGTATGCGCGATAGATCGACTAAGTATATATGAGTGCGCGACGATCTTTCTGAGACAACCGTTATTACTTGTGAAAGTGTCGATCATAATTTGATGCAAATAATATGATATATATCATATAAAATAAAACATGAAACTAAATTTTTCTAAATAGGAGAGAACAGCAAAACGTAACGCTTTTTATATTGCACGAAATTTGAATAAACAATTATTAATAAATTATACATTTTCTACTTATGTAATTTTTTACGTTTATACATTTTCTACTTAAACTTTTTTTAAAAATTGCGATCTCCTTTTTTTAAATTTTAAAATACTAGGACAGATTATATAAAATTGTAATTTTAATCGTAGAAATTTATATTAAGTAGATTCAAAATTGATTTAATTGACGTTGATATGTACTTCTTTTCCTCCTTTTTATTACATGTAGCTTGATTAAATAAACGTCGATAACATAATCATCGCACGGTTATTTTTATTCGTTACGTCTTCTATATCCAACAGTAAAAAATCAAAATATTAATATAAACGTTGCGAGAGTGAGATTAAAACATTAACAAGGAAAAGAAAAAAACGTAGGTTTGGGAGAGATCATTGTGTGTGATTTCAATGAAAATTACATCGAACGATGATTGAAGTTGCATTACAAAATTCGCAGAGCGCTTCTTCCGCCAAAAGGAGCAGGTACGACGACGTGTGGTTGCGGCGCGCCTCGTCGGCCGTGTGTAAACCATTTACGTAACGGCGCGAGATACGCCGTATTTCGATGATTAACAATTTGTTTTGCGATCGGCAAAGGTGACTCTTTGTACGGCACAAATACCTTACGTAAGACAGCAGATAAACGCGCGTATACAGCTGGAGATTAAGCGCGCGCGACTTTTCGGATTTCAAGACGAGACGCGATCAGTTTTTGACCGCATCCTCCGCAACGATCGCCGTGTTTATAGACTGAACCGAAGAGTTAGATATGCCAGAGGCATATACTGTTTCTTATTGTGCATTTTATTATAGATACGCAATTAATTATTCATTCGAAAATTTTTCATACAGCGATTTATTTTTGAAAAGTATCCATTTTATTTTAAATCATTAAATAAAAGTGTATAGAAGCAGAGCAATGGCATTAATCAATAAACCTTTGAGATATTAGCCAAAGACATTCTCACTGTTTCCACCTCGTATGATTAGGAAATAAATTTATACTTAGAATGCAAAACAGATATGAAAAATTATTACAAGCAAGGGTGTGTCACTGAAAGATTGATTTATCAATAATTATTAAATACTCGGTTATTTCGATTTATTGAATATATTACAATTTTAAGTAGTAGTAATATCTTTCTACTGAACTGCAGTGACACACCCTTGCTTGTAATAGTTTTTGTGAAACAAGTAAGTTCCAATTATTTATTTATTAAATGTTTACTTGCATATTTAACATTCTACTGTTAAACAACAAAGTCATGCGTTTATTATATTTCGCTTTATTATATCTGCTGTGTTATAAATACGTAATCTAAATATCTCGAGCAATCATATAAGAATATGCAGTATTAATATGCGTATTTATTATTCCGACTATTGACAGTCATCCGTTTCACATTCTAGCATAACGATTATGCACATAATTTTGAACGCAATTGAATCATACAGCGTAAATGACACAAATAGGGATAACAAAGGAGCGGTTGTTATAGTTCTTAAATAATGATTTAAAAAAAAAAGATAATGTATGAAGACTTCAAAATACCATTTACCATATATGTATATAATACATATAACTATATCTCTTAAGTATTAAAAAAGAGTATTAATTTTAAATATATTATATAAATAAATTATTTAAATAATTTATTTGTACAATGATGTATTCAAGATGTAATTACGTTATAATGTAGGTACATTACAACTATCCAATCAAATTAACGTTAGATTTAATTTATTGCTTTTTGCATTACTTGTACGATTTATCTATTTAGCAAATAATTAGATCTAAATTGCAACTTTTTATAATATGCGCGGGCTGTCAATTAAAAAATCATATGTTAACAAATGAATTCGGA